CTGGACGTAGCAGATGATGAAAGAACAATGGTGAGGGAGGCTCATCGAGCGGTGACTAAGGAGTTAGGCCATGGGATAGCATGGGATGCAGCGCAAATGGGCGCCAGGGCTCATCGGGTGAGGCGGTACAGGCAGAATATGGTCCCCGAGCCAGTGTTAAGGGATCAGTTGGGCCGGATGAAACGACCCTTGCCGCTGCTAGTCCAAGACATCCTAGAGCCGGGGAGGAGAGTGGCGCCAGTCACCGTTCCAGACATGAGGGCTCAGTACCCATGCAACCAAGTGGGGGCACCCCGGCAAGCCTGGCCGACGTTGGTGGCGACACCGGGCAGCTATGCATTCAGAATGCAAGGAGAGCAGCCTGGCCCAGGGATGGTCCAGACGCTTGCGACAGGAGAATGGGGTGAACCACTGGCAGTGGAGCGGGAAAGGGCCATGGGGTACCTACGGAATGCGACAGCGGCAGAAGGAGTATCAGAGGAGGCCCGCCGGAGAGCCTTAGGAGGAGCCATAGATCAGCACGCGTTGGCATGGCTGCTATACCGAGCGGAGAAAAGGCATGAGAGTATGAGGCTGCAGCTGCTGATGTTAAGACGATGGAGAGATCACATGGAGATGCTGGACACCGAGCCGGACAGAGCAGTAGAAGAGGCCGAAAGGTGGAGACAGATGGCGGCAGAGCAGACGGCAGAAGGTGAACGGCAGGAGAGGCAGTTGAACAGCCGGGGAATGATCCTGATGGCCAGAGCCACCATGGAGGAAGGGGGCAACGAAGAGGCAGCTACAGAAGAAGGAAGAGAGGAGGGAGAAAGTTCACAACGAGAATGGGTGATGGGGGAAGGACTGGACGCTGACCAAAAGGAGAAACTGAAAGAGGTACTGACAAAGGCTAAGGGGGCCTTCGCTCACTCACTCAAGGAACTGGGCAAGTGTAAGACTGCGACGATGGAGATAGAGCTGCAGACAGAAGAACCAGTGTTCCAGAGAAGGCGGAGGATGAATCCGGGAGATCGGGACGTGGCGGAGGCTAAATGCAAGGAATTGCTTGAGGCCGGGCTAATCAGAGAATCCAGCTCAGAGTACGCAGCAGCCACGGTGGTAGCTGCGAGGAAGAACGTGACAGGAGTCATGCTGGCACGCCGCATGTGCGGGGATTACCGAGGGCTGAATAGGATTACCAAGGCAGACCGGTATCCTATGCCCATGGTGGAGGAAATATTTGATGACCTGTCTAAAGGTAGAGTCTACTCGACTCTGGACCTTAGGCAGGGCTTTAATCAGATCCCCATCAAAGAGGCAGATAAGCATAAGACCGCCTTCCACGGCCCCGACAGGCTATACGAATGGAACTATATGCCATTCGGACTGAGAAATGCCTCAGCGAAATTCCAGAGGGTCATGGATAAGGTGCTGCAGACGATACCGTGTGCCCTATGCTACATCGACGACGTGATTATATTCAGTCCGGATGGTGAGCAGCACGTCAAGGACGTGCAGCAGACGCTGGCAGCAATAGAAGCAGCGGGGCTGACTTGTCACCCAGATAAGTGCACGTTTGGTGTGAAGACAGTATCCTACCTCGGATTTCAGGTGGGGGAGGGAGGGATGACGGTGCAGCAGGCTAAAGTGGAGGTTGTAGACCGGCTCCAAGCCCCAAAAGATCGAAGCACCTTGAGGGCGCAGTTGGGGTTCCTGAACTATTATCGGAAGTTTGTCCCGAACTTCTCCAAGACTGCCAAACCCTTGAACTGGCTATTGAGGGAAGACGTGCCCTGGGAGTGGAAGAGAGAGCAGGAGGAGGCATGGAAAGTGTTGAAGGAGGCGGTCAAGACGGCGCCGGTGCTGAAACTACCCAAGCCAGATGAGCCCTTCCTGCTATACACCGATTGGAGCAGTGGAGGGTTGGGGGCAGTGCTCTGCCAAACAGAGGAGGGAGTGGAGAGAGTGGTGGCATACGCCAGCCGATCCTGCAGCCCCGCAGAGAGCAATTACAGCTCTTACGAGGGTGAGGGGCTGGCAGCGGTATGGGCCGTGGAATTGTTCAGACCGTACTTACAAGGACGTAAGTTTACCCTGATCACTGACCATCAACCGCTGCTCTGGTTAATGACGAACCAGACGCTGAGAGGAAGGAACGCCAGATGGGCCATGCGCCTCCAAGAGTTCGATTTCGAGGTGAGACATCGACCGGGGAAGACACTACAACACGTGGATGGGCTATCACGTCAAGGACCAGCACGGCAGGAGGAAGGAGGGGTGACGCCGGAAGCCGGATTGGTATATTCAGCAGTGGCAGCGGAGAAGGAAGGATGGAAGAGACAGTCACTAGGAGAGAAAGGCAGTAGGGAGATATGGGAAGATCAGGAGGTGCTGGCCTGGGTGAAAGGAGAGGGACCCGAAGGGGAGGAGGTACCTGCGAGAGTCAGGGCGCGGGGAGTGCACTACCGCTGGCAAGATGAGCAATTGCAGTTGGTTACGGAAGACGGGTGGCGGATAGTGCCCCGAACAGAAGAAAGGAGGGAGCTAATCCTGAAAGTGCACAGGAAACTGGGACACTTTGCAGGAGAGAGGACAGTACAGCTGCTCCAGACTATGTACTGGTGGATGGGAATGAGGGCTCAGGTACGGCAGGAATTAGCCTCGTGCAAGCCCTGCAGCAGAAACAAAGCTACCATGAAAAAAAGCAAGGCAGAACTAAAGTCGCTGCCCATCGGAAACATAGGGTACCGCTGGTCCCTGGACATAGCAGGCGAGCTGCCGCTATCACGAAGGGGGAAGCAATACATTCTGGTGATGATCGAGCACACCAGCAAATGGATAGAGGTGGCCCCTCTATCTCGGAAAACTGCAGCAGGAGTGGCTGAGGCTTTTGTGCAGCAAGTGTTGTGTAGGTTCGGGGCATGTGGAGAGGTTCTCACTGACCAAGGCAGCGAGTTTGCTGGGGAGTTCGACAGGCAACTCAGAGAGCTGGGCATCACTCACCGGAGAACGTCCAGGTACAACCCGCAGGCGGATGGGCTGACAGAGAGAATGGTGCAAACATTGAAGAGAGGATTGCGCAAATACTGTGAGGAGGAGGACAGGAGGGACTGGGACTTGCAGCTACCGTGGATAGCGGCAGGGTATCGCTTTAGCAAGCAGCAGGCTTTGAAGCACTACTCACCCTATCAGTTGCTGTTTGGGAAGGAGCCAATCCTACCCGTGGATGCTCCTAGGATTCTGACAGAGGTGATACATGACGAAGACACGATGAAGTGGGCAGCCGTGGCGGCAGCTAGAGCGAAGTATCTCCGAACGGTGATGCCAGCTGCCCTGGAGAACCTGGAGGTGGCTCAGATCAGGGACGCCCGACGGTATAGTCAGCGGAAACAAGGGAAGGACCAGCAACCTGGCAGGCTGAAGGAAGCGCAAGTGGGAGACGAGGTCTATGTCCGTGAACAGAGGAGGGATGCATTGGAATGTGGGCTGAGCAGGGAGCGGTGGAGGATTCTGGAGAAGAGAGACTCCGGGGTATTGGTGCTACAGAATCGGCAGGGAAAGTGTGTGAAGGACCATATCACCAATGTGGCGAAGGCCGTGGCTTCTTGGCCGGTAGGCGAGGACGCAGGAGCGGCCAAGAGGGGGCATGGGACGGGCCCAGAAGCTCTTATCACCTACAGACGGAGGAAGGAGAAGAAGGAACAGCAAGAGGTGGTGACACGATCGGAAGGGTGACAAGTTCCGGAAGCTGGGTGGCAGAGTCCGAGTGCGAAGGGAGGACCGGAAGTGTGCGACAAGAGTGCAAGGGAAAACAGAATGCAAAATGAAAACGAAACACACAACAAGGAAAGAAACAAGAACAGAATAAAGTAAAAGTTGTTCTCCTCGCCCCATACTTCCTTCTCATGGCAGGCGTTGCTGATGGCACCACACTGCACTGGCACCGCACTGAACTCCCTCAGACCCATCCATACTCCCTTCTCAAGGCAGGCGTTGCTGATACTCCCTTTTAAAGGGGTACTGCACTGCACTCCCTTGGACCCATACATCCTTCTCAAGGCAGGCGCTGCTGATGGCACCGCACTGCACTCCCTTGGACCCATACTACCTTCTCAAGGCAGGGGCTGCTGATCGCACCGCACTGCACTCCCTCGGACCCATCCATACTCCCTTCTCATGGCAGGCGTTGCTGATACTCCCTTTTAAAGGGGTACCGCACTGCACTCCCTTGGACCCATACATCCTTCTCAAGGCAGGCGCTGCTGATGGCACCGCACTGCACTCCCTTGGACCCATACTACCTTCTCAAGGCAGGGGCTGCTGATCGCACCGCACTGCACTCTCTCGGACCCATCCATACTCCCTTCTCATGGCAGGCGTTGCTGATACTCCCTTTTAAAGGGGTACCGCACTGCACTCCCTCGGACCCATCCATACTTCCTTCTCATGGCAGGCGTTGCTGATACTCCCTTTTAAAGGGGTATCAGCAACGAGTGCTGATCAGGAGTGCGTCAAAGGCAAAAAGAGGAGTTGACTGGGAAGTATGAGGTGAAGCATGCTTAGGGTGAGTTGAGCAAGCGGTGGGACAAGCGGGAGGATGAGAAGCAAAGAGTGGGGTGGCAGCCACCACTCTCAGCACGCATCCAACACACACTTACCGCGGCTCAGCTGGGCAAGAGGGAGAGTGAGAGGAGAGTAATGAGAGGGAGTTCGCACCCCCAATCAAAGTATCACCACTCAGACACACCTTTCACGCAGCTTTGTACTCCCTTCCACACACCACAGCCTCTCCCTCCAAGTACCCCCTCCTTGAGCTTATCAGCCTCTCCTTCTCGCACCTCCACCTCACCCCAAGGGTGCAGGTGGGATAACACGCACCTCCGCCTCACCCCAAGGGTGCAGGTGGGATAACACGCACCTCCACCTCACCCCAAGGGTGCAGGTGGGATAACACGCACCTCCGCCTCACCCCAAGGGTGCAGGTGGGATAAATCGCATGGGAAGCCACATGCGGCCTTCGGTCACGCCATCCTTGCTCCATCCGCCTCGCCTCGCGTGCCGCCAGCAAGTGGGTGGTCAGCAGGGCGGGTAGGAGGCACCCACATGCCACTGCCTGCCGGCCGTGCGTCATCCCACCTCTCTCGCCGGGAGTTGCACTCACATTCAGAGAGCGTGTCGTGGGAGTTGCACTCACATCCAGAGAGCGTGTCGTGGGAGTTGCACTCACATTCAGAGAGCGTGTCGCAGGAGTTGCACTCACATCCAGAGAAGGCCGTGGTGGGCGTTGCACATCCATCGTCGGCAAAAGAATCAGAGACAAGTCAACGCAAACCTACTGATGCACTCACATCCAGAGAAGGAGGTGGACGTGGCTGTTGGTGAAGAGCGTCGATGATATGTCAAAGAGAAACGAGAAAGACGGCCAGATAGAGCGAGATAAATGAGAGAGGCAAGGGTAAGAAAGCTCGATTGATTTTGTTGTCGCTTGCAGCAGCTGATTGTTGTCTCGCGTCCACTGTAGGCCACCGTTGCACCGCCTTCACCGCCCGTGCACCGAGTCAGCCATCCGCCCTCGTCATCCTCCTCACTCCAGCTGCCCTCGTCACCTCGCTCCGTCCGCTCCGGCCGCACTCCTCGCCTCGCCCCATCCGCTTGCATTGCGGCGCCACCCTCGCCTTCGCAAGCGGGTGGTCAGCAGGGCGGGTAGGGCCGGCCGTGCGTCATCCCACCACGCTCGCCCTCCCCTTGCATGCGCGCCGTCTTCAAATCTGCACTTCCAAAGAGCGAAAAGAGGCATAGAGCGAAGGATGATAAGTAGCTGGGACCATGATGAATGCAAAAACAATGTGTTGATAGAACAAGAATGAATGAGACAGCAACAGTGGCAATCAGGGAAAAGAGATCAAGAACAGAAATTAGAGGCAAGGGTAAGGAAGCTCAATTGCTTTTGTTGTCGCTTGCAGCTGACTGTTGTCTCGTGTCCACTGTAGGCCACCGTTGATCCGCCTTGACCGCCCGTTCACCGAATCAGCCATCCGCCCTCGTCATCCTCCTTGCTCCAGGCGGCCCCGTTGCCTCGCTCCTCCATGCTCTCTGCTGCTGCCTTCCCGTCGATTTGCTGGCAGAGGGGTGTAGGCAAAGGGAAGCAGGCAGAGGGATGCTGGCAGGAGGAGAGGAGAAGAGGGATACAAGTGGAGGGAGCAGAGAAGGGAGATGAGAAGGAAGGCAATTAGCATGGCGTATGCAAAGTGACAGAACGGAAAAACGGCACGCATGCAAGCAGTGAGAGTGCGTGAGTGGCGTGAGTGGCGGTGGCATTGGGTGGAAGCGGGTGGTGGCAGCAGCAGGGCGGGCACCAAGGACAGTACCGTACCTTACCACACCTGACGCACTTACCTGCTGTCACACACCTGGGGAGGGTCCCTTGGTGCCGCCCGTGAGAGCGGCGAGAGGAGGAGGAGGGCGAGAGTGCAAGCAAGCGAGCAGTGGATGGCACGAGTGGGAGCGGGTGAGTGGTGCGCGCACAGTGCCAATTCAGTGAGATGGCTTAGCCGGATTGACGAGGGTCGAAGGAGCATGCAGGCGTGCTCCCCTTGCGTGCGCTCCCTGCGCTCCCTGCCCCGCGTTTGTGTGCCTCCTTGAGTCTGCTCTGCTCCCGCCTGAGAGGCGAGCAGTGGTCAGCAGGGCACGCAGCAGCCGTGTTGCCCGCCGTGCATCATCCCACTGCCGCCCTCTGCTGGCTCTGCACAAGGAGCAACCAGGCACAGCGGCAGAGAGCACAAGACCGAGTGGCAGTGAGAGCACGAACAGGTCGCAGAGAGCAAGAGCAGGTGAAACCAACTTCCGGCAAGAAAGCAAGTCGACGAACGAACGAACGAACAAATGGTAAACACATTGGAGCGACAAGTGAGTGATACAGGAGGGGTGGTGGGGGGAAGGTGACGACGACAGTGGGCCAAGGGCACCGAAGCAGCGAGCTGAGGCAGCGACGGGGGACAGGGGACGCGCGCATGGCATGAATGAAATGCTATCCTAAGCCACACCCACTGGACTCTCTGGACTGGACTGGACTCTACATGAGCTCAGCTGCCATAATGCGCCCTGACCCACCGCCGCCATGCGCCTCACAGGAACACAACAGAGTGGTGTAAGGGTTGAGGAGGGAACTTAGCCGGGAACTTAGCTCGTTGCTTGCCGATCGTCGTTTTCCGCACTTGCCGCATTCACCACGTCAGCACCTCTCCCCGCACCTCATCGCTGCTCCCCGCAGTTGGCTACGATCGCAGGTCCCTCTGGTGTTGCCTGGCTGTTGACAGTTGATGTTGACTGCTGCTACACGTGCTGTTGCTCTGGTGCTCTGCCACACTCGATTCCGCCTGAGGGAAGAAGATGGATGGAGGGAGAAGGAACAGCGAGAGGGCAGGCAGAGAGAACTTGGAATGTTACGTAGCGGATAACATGTCAAGGTGGGAAGAGAGCAGAGATCCTGGAAAGCAAGAATGAGAATGAATTGGAGTTTGCAACAGCAGAAAATTCAGTGGTTGGGAGGGGTGGGGGGGGAAGGCGCATGGCGACAGTGGCCCACGGCACTACAGCAGCGAGCTGAGCCAGCGAGGGGGGACTGGGACGCACGCATGGCATGAATGCACTCCCTCTCCTTCTAATCTCTCCCATCACTCCCACTACACTACACTCTACATGAGCTCTGCTGCCATAGCACCATGGACCACCACCAGCATGCGCCAAGCAAGGGATACGAGGTGACAATCTGGCGGCAGTAAAAACGACGGACGGGGAGAGCGAGGGAGGAGTGAAGAGGGGGAGCGCGAAGAGACTTAGCTACAGAAGAGTGTTGAAGCTGATCATCCGCATCCGCACATTGTCACACGAGGTACATTGCACGCCCTCGCACGCACTTAGTCGCCACCTTCCGCACACAGACGCGCGCGGACGCACACGGTACGTCGCATGGCGCTCGTCAGACATCGTCGCATGCGGCCGATCCGTCAGCATCCGCACGCCTTCACGGCTGTTCACCACGCCAGCCGCATGCCTTCACCGCTGTTCACCGCGCCAGCTGCACACCGTCGAACTCGGTAAGTCGTCATCTTCCGCACACCGTCGCACGGGACGTCGCCAGCATCCGCACAACGTCGCACGTGGAAGATCGCGCGCAGTTGGTCACCGACTTCCGCACACGTAGCACGCGGTACGTCGCCATCATCCGCACGGCCTCGCACGTAATTAGTCGCCATCTTCCGCACACGGACGCGCGCGGTACGTCGCATGCCGCCATCTTCCGCACATAGACACGGACGCGCGCGCCGCGTCGCCTGCGCAGGCGCCGTTCGTCGCACATCGTCGCATGCATCCGAACACGCGAAACGTCGCACGCGGTAAGTCGCCATCTTCCGCACACGGACGCGCGCGGTATGTCGCATGCCGTGAAGGAATATATTAGAGAGCGTAGCAATAACGAGAGAGTTTCTGCTATGGGAATGATGTTGCGTCAGCAACTTGGTAGAGTTTCGGTAGCGTTTACCTCTAAGGACTTGGTGAGAATTGAAGTAGCATTTGGACTTCACTAGGAAAATAGAAAAATATATATCAAACACACAAGCAACACAAACATATGTAGGCAGGCGAGGGTTTCACAAGAGGTTGCGTGGGCGCTGCGAGTAACCCAACCCCACGAAAGTGGTGTGTGGGTGAGCGAACGCGCCTCGCCAATTTCTCAACCCAACTCAGCATCGACTTCTCGCTTCCGTGCACACCACTCCACCAACCTAGCAAAGAGTGGTGCGACTCTCAAGGAAGCACCAACAACTCCCACGGACTCTCACTTCTTCATGCGACCTCCATCGAACTCATTCGTCGGTGCCGAGTAGACTCAGTCGCTAGGCGTCGACCTGCCAAGTCAAAGGTCATCGAGGGCCCTTGCTGTTGTAGGGCCCTCTAACACTCCCCTGCCATACTACAGCAAGGCCCTTTATAACCACAGGGCATGCATACACACGTACACGCCAAAACAAAGGGAAACACACACAAACGAAGCACTCTCAAAGTTCAAACACGCACCGCACCAGCCATGGATAGGCCATGGCACCATCCACATCATGGAGCGTTTAGGTCTCACCCCCCTCACTCGAAAGCCTCACCTGCCCCACAGCCTCGAAGCAACGACTGAAGGCGGGGAAATGCAATGCCTTCGTGAGGTAGTCAGCAGGCTGCTCGCTCGTAGGGATGTACTGCAACTGCAGCTTCCTGCGCTTGACCATGTGCTGCAGCCACATGTGGCGACGCTCCATGTGCTTGAGGCTCCCCTTGAGCCCCATGCCACCTGCCACTGAAATGGCGGAGGAGTTGTCCACAAAGAGAGTAGTGGGCTCCTCACTCCTCAGCAGTTGAAACTCTGCCAGCAGGAAGCGCAGCCTGCGCGCCTCCTTCCCGGCCTCCACAGCAGCAACATACTCAGACTCAGTGGAGGAGAGGGTGGCGCAACGAATCCTCTGGCTCGCCCATGAGACAGCAGCACCCCCAAGCACGAAGACATAGCCACCTGTGCTGGTCCTGTTCTGCTTGTCCCCTGCATCATCAGCATCGGCGTAGCCCACCAGCTCCAAGGACTCCGGCCCACCTCCAAACTCCAGCGCCACATCCCTGCTCCCCACCAAGTACGTCAAGCACCGGTCCAACTCCTTCCAGTGCTGATCACTCCGCACAGTCTGGCCCGACCCCAGCTTGCTGCAGGCGAACGAGATGTCGGGACGGGTGGTACAGGCCGCGAACTGCAAGGATCCCACCTTCTGCCTGTACTCCTCCTCCTGGCGAGACTGCCATCCCACATCCTCGAAGGTCTGCACACTGAAAGGGTCAGAGGAAAGAGGGGTGCGAGGCACTCGCAGCGGCTGCTCCCCGTCAAAGAAGCGCCTATGAACCTTGTCCACATAGGCCCTCTGGTGCAGCCATAGCCTCCTCGTAGGCCTGTCCCGAATCAGCTGCAACCCCAGATACTTCTCCACAGGGCTAATCTCCCGCAGTTGAAACGCACTCTGCAGCAGCTCACGCAACTCCCCAAGCATGCTCTGACTGCGGCTGGCAGCAAGCAGGTCATCCACATACACCAGCAGCCAGCACATCTCCCCCTCAGCATCAGTTTTGAAGTACAGAGCCTCATCCACCTTGCTCTTCTTCCATCCAGCCCCAAGCAGCACCCCATCCAAGGCCTCATACCATAGCATCGGGCTCTGCTTGAGCCCATACAGACTTTTCACCAACTTACAGACACGAGGAGTCCCATCCTCGTAATAGCTCGGCTGCTCCATGTAAAGGTCTCGGTCCAGCACGCCATGGAGGAACGCATTCTTTACATCGAGCTGCATCAGGTCCAAATCAAGTGCAGCTGCAATCGCCAGAAGCACACGCGCCGTCACATAGCTTCCCACAGGGGCGTACGTCTCCTCATAGTCCACCCCTGCCACCTGCGTGAACCCCTTCACCACCAGCCTCGCCTTCTCACGCTCCACTATCCCATCAGGTCGGAACTTGGTGTTCAAAATCCAGCGGTTCTTCATCACATTCACCCCTGGTGGACGCGGAACCAACTCCCACGTCCCCTGCTCAATCAAGCTCCGCATCTCTTCATCCATCGCCTCCTT